AATCTAAGAAGCTCAAGACATTCCAAATAAAATACATGCACACTACCCCCAAATTATAATCAACACTGTTGGAAAACCAATCATGATCAGAAAATCTTAAAAGTAGTCAGAAAGAAAAGGCACACTATGTCAGAAGAACAAAGAATAACCACAACATTCTCATCAGAAACTGTTCTGGCCAGAGACAATGACAAATGTCTCCTCTTTAGAAAGGCCTCACTGGCCCTCCTAGGTAGATCCCCAGATGCTCCCCTCCACCCACTGTATCACACTCTGTGTTCTTACCTTGCTTTCATTATTGGCTTGCTTGTGGTATCTCTCCCCTCTAAAATGTAACCTACAAGAGGGTAGGAGCTTTGTCTTGTCACTGTTTTACACTCAGTGCCAAGAACAGTGCTTGGTATTTAGTAGGTGCTCAATAAATAACTGACAAAGGAAGTAATGCCTTCAGGCAGAAGAGTATGAAGGCAGAGAGCAGTAAACCATCCTTGAACTAGTAATGGTTCAGCACAATGAGAGCCCAAGATGTATAGTAGCAAGTGGGAGGAGATAAACCTGGAGTGTTGACAGATGTCAGGCCACAGAGCAATCTGTAGGACATGCTGTGGGACTTGGGCTTCGTTCTGTAGGCAGAGATTTTAGGCAGAGGAGTGTTAATATTCTATTTGCACTTTAGAAAAATGGCTCCTTGTGTCGGATGAATTAGAGGAGTGAGATTGAGAGCAGGGGAAAGGTGAGAGATGGTACAGACCTGTGGAGAGTAGAAGCAGAGGGGATGGGCCAGGTCTAGAAAGCTTTCTAGGAGGTAGAGTGTGCAGGTGTTAGTGACCAGCTGGTTGTAAGGGATGAAGGGGCAAGTTTTGATTTGTGTTATTGGGTGGATAAGGAATACAGAAAGCAAAGGAGATTTTAGGGAAAAAATGGTATATTTATTATCTATTGCTGTGTAGCAAATTACCCCAAATCTTAGCAGCTTAAAACAAGAAATATTCATTATCTCACAGTACATGTGGGTCAGAATTTAGGCTTAGCTGACTGCTTCTGGCTCAAAGTCTCTTGCAAGGCTGCAACCAACAGGTTGGCCAGGGCTACAGTCATCTCAGGACTTAAATGGGGAGAGCTCCTCCTCCATGCTCACTCCCGTGGCTGTTGGTGGGTCTCAGCTACTGGGACTGTGGGCTAGATAAATCAGTTCCTTGTGACCTGGGCCTCTCCGTGGGACAGCTCACAATGATATGGCAGGTGGCCTCCCTCCGAATGAGTGAGCAAGAGAGGGAGAGAAAGCATCCAAGACAGAAGCCACAGTCTTTTTATAACCCGATATTAGAGGTGACATTTCATCATTTCTGCCCTATTCAGTTAGAAACAAGTCATTAGGTGAGGTCACACCCCAATGTGTTTGAGGGGGGATTACACAAAGGCTGTGAATATCAGGAGGTAGGGATTATTAGGAGTGTCTTAGAGATAGTCGGCCACAGAGTGCATTTGGATACAGTGAATTTGTGGACTCTAGGACCTCCCAGTTGGGGATACTCTGGATGCAGATGGAAGTGTAGATGTGGGGCTCAGGAACTAATGCCTCTTGTTGAGATATAGTTTGGAGCCTTTGCTTGAATTTATAATTAATGGCTCAGGAATCTCCCCAACTTGATTTGAAGCTTCTAGAGGTCAGGAATGAAGGACAGATATCTTTAAATTCCCAAGGAAGCCCCTCAGGTAGGAGGTGCTCAACACATTATTGCTGATTGAATTACTTGGGGAGGCAGAATGTCACATGGTTGAAAACTCTCTCCGTTTAACAATTCCTGCTCTGTTAGAGGGACTTGGAAAGAGGCTTTCCCCTTTCTAAGCTGCACATTCCTTGTCTGCACAAAGTGGGTTTTCAAAAAAAAAAAAGGTAAAGCTTTTTCCCTGGGAACCCCATATACCACATAGGTAAAAGGGAAAATTTGGTCTGATCTGGTTGGCCTCCCCCTTGGGACCCCAAAAAAGAACCCCATTTTGAAAACCACTGGATGAAGTCATTTCCTGATTTTCTGCCAACTGGGACATTCTGTGATTTTACGACAAGATCAACTCTACATATCTCCCAGTTCGATGATTCTGTGTATTCAGATCCATTGATGCTACATATTTTATTGGACTTTTGAAAAGAAAATCATGCATATTTCCTTGAACTTATGAAAAAATGCCATATCTGGCTTTCATTAAGCACTTTCTATGTGTCAAGCATTGTGCAAAAAAATGCCTATTGCATTATCTTTATTCGATCTTATCTCCCCTACTGGAGTGTAAGACTTTTTCTAGTTCACTGCTGTATTTCCAGCAGCTAGAGTAGTTCTTGGGATATTGAAAGCATTCAATAAATATTTTCTGGGTCAGGCACTGTGACTCATGCCTGCAATCCCAGCACCTTGGGAGGACAAGGCAGGTGGATCAGCTAAGATCAGGAGTTTGAGACTAGCCTGGCCAACATGGTTGACCCCCAACCTGGGAGGTGGGGGTTGCAGTGAGCAGAAATGGCACCATCGCACTCCAGCCTAGACAGCAAGAGAGAAACTCTGTCTCAAGAAAAATAATAAATTAATGGTTGTTACCATTATCAACAACCCTGACAGATAGCTATGATTATCTTCATTTTCCAGATGAGATCACCTAGGCTCAGAGCAGCTAAGCACCTTACCTAGAGTCATCTAGTTAGTGTAAGAGACTGAGCTGGGGTTGGAGCCCAGGTCTTTCTGACTCCAAAGCATTCCTGTACAGGACCCAGCATATTCAAAACCATGCACCCAAATTTAGATTCTGGAAAATCATGACACTGGTGAGTGCAGACCAATAGGGCTGACAAGGCTTTACTGCTCCAGCTCTCAGCATTCCCAGCTTTACATTCATGAAACCACTGGGCATTGAACTGGGAAGAGTCCACCAGGCTGAGAAATTACAAAATATACCAAAAATAAGAGTTGATGACTAAGGATGATAAGCGTGGTCACCACAGCCTGCCGTTCTCTGTCGCCTCATCAACATCACATGTCTCCAACCAGGTCTGAAGTTAGACTGATGATGTCACCAGAGTCTCTAAAAGGCCTCATCACTCACTTCCACTTGTCATGTATTATTAAGCAGATCTATAATACATGTAACATTTTCTACTGAATTTCCATTTCTTTCTTTTCATGACCAAGGAAAGAAAAGTAGAGTGAGGATGACTTTTCCCAAATTTTCATCCTTATTGCCCTTCACTGAAAAATAACTTCATCTTGAATCACCCCCCAAAATGATCATTCAGGCTCCAATTTCATTAATAAGGATGGAGCTAAAGTTTAATAATTATCATTTAACTTATGCATATTCTATATAGACAAGTAAATGGATTTCCCTCATCTTTCCTCCTTGAATCCACAGAAGAGGGGAGTCTATAACCCTTTTTCTTTTTTCTCTTTATTCTCCGCATTATTTTTTGAGACTTTGGGGTTCTATTAGTTATATTAGAAACTTTCTGCATTATCACTTCTGTAGCAATAACGAGAGTCCTCTGGAGAATCGGAAGTCTTTGTTGTCTGAATCAGAATTTCATTAGGGGCAGCAATCTCAAGGATTAGCAAAAGTTATCCAGATGAAGAGTTGTTTTCGGCGGAGAGAAGAAGATGCTCACAAGTGGCTGGCCTGGATTGTAGGTTCTGTAAGGAATGGAAAGAAACTAGAGGGGCTGGAAGACAAAGCCTCACCCAAGGCAGCATGCTGGATTCGAGAGCAGGCTTAAAGCAAATGGTGTTGAAGACCTCCAGCTACACTGGGCGGTCACACAGGGCCCCTGCGCTTAGAAGGACTCTGAGCTTGATTTAATGTGCCTATCGTGAAACTGTTCATCCTTTTTGAACAAAGGGCCCCACATTTTCATGTTGAGCCAGGTCACTGTGTAGTTAGTCCTGCTTGGGTGGAAAAGCCAGCTCTGTCATTTACTAACTAGCGAGGCGGCCTCTGGGAAATCCATTGGCCTTCCTGAGATTCAGTTCTACTTCTGTAAAGTGGAGTGCATAATCCCTCCTTCAAATACTCTGCCATGAGGATTCAATGAGACTATGAATAATCAGGGCTTTGTATAGTAATAGGTGCCTAATCAGTATTAACTTCTTCTTAACTAAGAGGGTATATCTGAATCACCTGGGGAATTTGCTTTCTTCAAAATACATTCACCTGGGTTCTGCTCTGAGCACTTCTGACTCTGTAGGGATGTAGTGGGGTTGTGTGTATTTGTTTTTTGAGACAGAATCTCATTCTGTCACCCAGGCTGAATTGCAATGGTGCCATCTTGGCTTACTGCAAACTCCGCGTTCTGGGTTCAAGCAATTCTCCTGCTTCAGCCTTCCGAGTAGCTGGGATTACAGGCAGGCGCCACCACACCCAGCTAATTTTTGTGTATTTGGTAGACACAGAGTTTCACCATGTTGGCCAGGCTGGTCTCGGACTCCTGACTTCAGGTGATCTGTTCACGTCAGCCTCCCAAAGTGCTGGGATTACAGACGTGAGCCACCGTACCCAGCCAATGTGGTGGTTTTAAAAGGGTTCCTTGTATGACACTGATGTATATCTCAGTTTCGCAGAAGCAACCTTAGGTTTTTAGAGAGCTAGCTAAGGAGCCACTTAGTAAAGGATAGCAGAAGAAAAGGCAGAGGGAGAAATCGAGGGACTACTACTCATCCTCAACATAGTAATAAACCTATTAAAGAAGAAAGAGGTCATCAACTTCACAGCCCTTCAGACGACAAAGATGCTGCTGAAATGCACTGTGGGAATTCATCCCATTATCAAGGTTCCCATAAAATTTCCAACTGTCCATTTGGTCTGTTGAGTACACCCAGAGGAAGAGGGGCTGTGGCCAAGAGAAGCCAGGGTCAAGGCCAAGGCTGGGGACTGAGTTTGAATTTATTTTCAACTTAATGAACCTAATACCATACTCAATAGAGAGAGTAATTCTGAATTGTGTTTATCCTGCCCAGATTTTAGGCTTCGACATTCTTCTAATGAAAAACCTGAAGCCTATACTACTTGAAGTAAATGCAAATCCCAGTATGAGAATCGAACATGAGCACGAAGTAAGTATGTTGAGCATTTCATTGATGATGTTGCCATTCAGCTGAATATTCCTACCCTCATGCTGCTCACTTAACAGAACAAGACTGAACATTCTCAAATTGTCATAGCCAAATTGTGCTCAAGTCAAATAATTTCAATATTGTTGAGCTCTGAACATAGACTATCAATACAATACCTATCTGACCTACGGTAACTTCCCAGCATGCCATTTTTCTAATTTTTAAGGTCTGGAAACTTAGAAGCAGCTGAGCCTTCCCATCAGTTTTGACATGAACTAATTAGTTAACCTCAGGAGATGAACTAATTGAAATTCTATGAATATGATTTAGTCATGTTGACATACTTGAATCACTAAGATAAATAGTACATTTAACAGTGGTTCTGTATTTCTCCCCCTCCCCAAAAAATGCATTTAAGAAAAACTGGAAGGAAATACAACAGATATCAATATTGGGTTTAGGGGAGATTATTTAGATTATTTTAGTTTTCTTAACCCCTTTCTATATTTCTTAATTTTCTCCAGTGAGCACATATCATTTTGATAATTAGAAAAACATCGTGCTATTTTTTCTCTTCGTATATCTGGTTAATTTATAAAAGGAAACTGATCTTAAAGTAGTATAAAGGAAGTCTTTAAACATTTTCTTCTATAGATTAGGATAAGCAAAATTGATAGTATAACCCCTGGAGCTAGATGGAGGATTGGATGCTGATAGCCACTTGGCACCGAATCACGGTCTCCACTGTGACACAGAATCCTTACCCATTCAAGCTTTCTCCAGGGGTGTTTGAAAATGTCCCCAGCCTTGTTGATGAAGAAGTGAAAGTGGCTGTGATCAGAGACACTCTGCGCCTCATGGACCCACTCAAGAAGAAAAGGGAGAACCAGTAAGTGCTTTTTTATGTCATTCCTTTCTATCAGCTCTGCTTCCTAACTCTGCTTCATATCCTAAGCAGGTAAGTTCTTGGAACCTCTTACCATTGTGAGTGAGATTTACCTCTTAAACAATTCTAATAAAATATCTTCATTTTATAAATATCAGCCCCCAAACAACCAGTGACTCAAATTGGGAATAATCTGACAAATGGGCTTCCTTCCGTTGATGAATTTCTAATATCCAAATCTGGAATGTCTCTTCTAAGAAGCCACAGCTCCCTCAAGGACAGGCCTCCCACTTGCCTGCTATTGTTCATATAGTGCTTCTCCTTGAAATCCTCAAGCACAGGAAGAGCACAATAAAATGCAGGAGAAGAGAGCCACAGGTAACTAGGACATGGTAAAATTCCTTCCTTTTTATTTTCTTCATGTATACACTCTTGCAGTATACAGTTTTTGTTTCAAAATTGGCAGACCCCATTTAATGCCAGCTCTATGATATTTACAACAGTTGTAATTCTGCTTCATCACCCCCCCCACTCAGTGGCACATTACATTCCCCGCCCTCCCTCTGTGGAATCACCCCGGAAATGAATGATATTTCACTTGGGTATGCTGTTTGTTTTGTTTTTACCAAATTCCAGGTAAAGTAAGGGTTGAGTACATATCATTGTGTCAGTGTTTCAGGAAGAAAAGTCAAAGACAGGCATCTCAAATAGCACTTCTCGTACCTCTAGACAAATCAGATTGACCCTAATGTGCGCAGACAAGTAAAGCACTTGTCAGTGATTGTTCAAGACTGGGAGGAATGCAGACTTCCCCAAGCAAGTGGTGTTTTGCAGGTTCCTCTGCCAAGGCTTCTCATCACCTGGGCTCAGGCCCAAATATCACCCTATGGTAGTGCTTCTCGTGCTTGGCTGCCCGTTAGAACCCTCTGGGCAGCTTTCAAAAATACCCATGGTAGAGTTCCCACTTCTAGAGGTGCTGATTTTGATTGGTCTGCGTTGCAGGCCTGGCCACGGAAAGTTTCCCGGTTCCCTGGGTGATTCTACTGTGCAGCCAAAGTTGAGTGCCACTTCCCTGTGGGAAATATTACCCTGAAGAAGTACTGGTCATGTTCTGAGTTAGGCTGGATGGCGCCTGCCTGGCGGAGTTCTTCTCAAGAGTGTTCTTGACTGTGTGAGGCACAGATTGCCGCTGTTGGCAAGGCTCAGCTGAGGATGTTTACCTGTAGTTTGTAAAGGCCAGTCCTGCTCGGTGTGGCTTCCACTGGTGAGTGCTTCAAAGCTGTCCTCTGAGCAGCCTAGACCCGATGGCAGCCAAAGAATGTGTTCGCCAGTACATATGCATCTGCAGCTGCTTTCTTTAGCCATCTCAAAGGAAAAGCAGTGGATTAGTTGCCATTTGGTGAGAATTACTGCAATAAAACTCATTCCTCAAAAATCTATTCTCTAATAGTTATTGGTCTCGCCAGCAGAGACTAGGTTCTGGGAAACCATATGGTACTGTCAGGAGATTTGGGTAGCGGTGTATGCCAGTATGGCATGGCAGTACAGTGTTTTTGGGATGACCTTGGCATATCAGCATTCTTAGTCCTCTGGTGGGAAGAAGAAATTCAAGAGCCATTGCATGGCCTGAGTCTATTCAAGCTCTGCCACCTAAATGTGAGGGGATAGAGGGTTCTACTGTATTTTCATTAAATAACATTGAAACAAAATTAGTTTTATTTTTCTTGTTCTAGTTGCTTTTCTTTATCTACATGTATATAATTCATAGGAGCTGCATTCTGTGTGATCTGTATGAGCTACAGGCCTAGAATTTAATAATAATGGGACATAAGACCATTGGGAAAGATGGGAAACGCATTTTACAACTTATCAAGTCATAAATAGCAGCACCTCATTTTTAATTTAAAAAGCATTGACTTTATTGATAACCAGGAATAGTGAGAAGTTGGAACCTGACTTTCATTCTAATATAAAACCCTTTCCTCTCATCCTCTTCTTACCTACAATGTAACAGTATATGATAATAGTTCAATGCTATTTACTGATACTTTTTCTTAATTTCACCATTTAAAAAAAAAACTCAGCAAGGATTATCCATGAAAGTACTTTGTAATGCACAAAGTGTGTTTGTATGTAAGGGATTATGATCATTTTGATAATTTACCATGCAGAGGAAAAGACTGAAATTCTTCTCAACTCCTTTGAGTAGAAATGTTTCCAAATAAGTTGAAAAGTTACCAATTTATGCTGCACAGTGTTTCCTGTGTCTAAATCTGAGACTCTGTCACTCCTACTGCGTTAAAATGATGTCAGGCAGACTTCCAGGCTAGAAGGTACCTTTAGAAGCCAGGGTTTCTAGCCTTTGCACAGAATCTGACCTATTTTTTTAAAAAACAAATGGAATCCCAGCATTTCCCTTCAACTCTTTAGCAAGAGAGGGTCTGAAGTGTCTGTCCATCATTAGTCATTTCTTGAGAACAGTTTGTCAGCAAGACTGCTGAAGTGGATCTTTATTTCCCCACACAGACTAAAGAAAAAAAGTAGATACCCCGAACTCCTCATCTCCCCAGACTGCTCTGGACAGATGCAGAGGAGACATCAGAAGGGGCCCCAGACCTGTGTCCATGCATTGTGCATCTCTGCCACCTCTGGGTCTTGCAGCCTGGGGTTAGTTTCTTGGGGGACTGATAGTAGTCCTCAGGCAGTCTACCAGGGGACGAGCTCGATGCTGATACACCCACCTTGGCATAGTTGAGAGTGCCTTCTCTGGAGCTGAAGAGCCGGAGATTCCAATCCTGACTCTCTCACCAACTGATGGTGAGTCCTTGGAGACGTTGCCTAGCTGTTTTGAGCCTCAGTATCCTTTTCTTTAAAATGGGGATAATGATGTTCAAATAAACAATGAGAGGCCAGGCACGGTGGCTCACACCTGTAATCCCAGCTCTTTGGGAGGCTGAGGTGGGTGGATTACTTGAGGTTAGGAGTTCAAGACCAGCCTGGCCAACATGGTGAAACCCATCTCTACTAAAAATACAAACATTAGCTGGGTGTGATAGTGCATGCCTGTAATCCCAGCTACTTGGGAGGCTGAGGCACAAGATTCACTTGAACCTGGGAGATGGAGATTGCAGTGAGCCAACATTGTGCCACTGTACTCCAGCCTGGGTGACAAGAGCGAAACTCCGTCTCAAAAAAAATAAATAAATAAAAATAAATAAAAATAAATGAGAAAATCTTTTAATGTATAGTAGGCACTTGATAATGCTGAGTTTACTACTCAACAGTGAAAGTATCTACTGGACATGAAAGAAAAAGCAATGCTTAGTTGTTATTCTCTTTCCTGGTATACTAAAAATAGACTTTTAAAGTTTAAAACCAATAGTGTATCCTAAAAACGAAGCTGCTTGATTACTGTGGACTAGAATCGACATTGGAGCTGGTTACCAATGGAAGGTTCTGTTTCCAGGTAGCAAGATGTCACTGGCTCATATTTATTTCATGTGTTAGGAGAAATTACCTTTGGCTCCTGAAGGAGGAAAACATCTGTCATATGTGAACTATTTTGGTGAAGGTAGTGTTTTGTAATATCTAGTGACTCAAACGAGTTTCTTACTCAAACTCGTTACTTGAGTTTCTTACTAGGGTTCTCTGGAGGCTCTTTAGTGGCATGGGAAGGAGGAGGCTTATGGGGTGGGATTCTGGAAACATTATATAAATGGAGGTAAAATTCACTATCATATGTGAATTTTATGATAGTGAATTTTATCTTACAATTTAAAAGCTTACAATTCAGTGGCATTTAGTACTTTCACAAAGTTGTGCAACCATCACTGCTAGCTGGCTCCACGATGTTCTGCCACTCAAAAAGGAAACCATCAAGCAGTCACTCTCCATCCCCAACCCCCTCCACCCCAAGTCCCTGGCAACCACCAGTCTGCTTTCTGTCTCTGTGGGTTTAGCTATTCTGGATATTTCATCTAAATAGAATCATACCATAAGCAGTCTTTTGTGATTGGCTTCTTTCACTTATTATAATATTTTTGAAGTTCACCCTTGTTGCGGCATGTGTCCGTATTGCATTCCTTTTTACAGCTGAGTAATATTCCATAAGATGATAGACCACATTTAGTATTCATTTGTCAGTTGATGGACATTTGGGTGGATGCCATCTCTTTTTCAACCAGAGGGATGCTACAATTATCTATTTCATATGTTGGCACTCTACATTAGGTTCGTTAGATTTCATTTGAAGAGAGGGACTAGAGAAGTTTTCTATGAGAAGTTTTTCCTGCTATGAGATGTCTTTAGAACCCCTGTTTTCATCCAGCCTCCTCATTTATTGCTAAAAGCACATACCTTAGAACTCATCATACTGGTCAGTTCCCTGGTTCAAGAATCTCCCTCTGAAGCATTACTGATAGAGGAGCGGCATGTGTCCTGGCAAGACACGAGACTTGGTGTCAGTCAGGCCTGGGACCATGTCCTTAATCTCTGATCATTGCACTATGAGCTTGGTGGTCAAGTCACTTTGGTCTGATCACGTCTGTAAAATGGGAATCAAGGTACCTCCTTGGCTGAATTGTCATGGTCATGATATGAAATGACATCTGTGAGAGAGCCCCATGGAATCCGAGAGCATTAGACAACAGCTATTTCTTAGGATCACCAGGTCATCAATCAGGCTTTCCTTTAAAATCATGCTGATGGTGACAAAAAAGTCACCAGCTCTTGAGACAAGCTGTTTGAGTTGTGGATACAATGGTTCTGGCCCCCTGAGTCATACATGGGGAAGCTATGCTGGAGGGAGGCAAGAAACTTGCCCCAAGTCCCAAGACTAGTTAGAGGCAGACTTGAACTGGGCCCTGGGCCTGACTTCTGCAACAGTGTTCACTTGGCCATGAGGCTGCCTTGGGCTCCAGTTTCCACTTTCAATTCAAAGCTTAACTTTGAAGTTAACCAAAATAATAATAATAATCATTATCATCAATGGAAAATTTCTCCTT